CCGGGGGAGACCGCGAGGGAGGGGGCGGCCCCGGGGGAGACCGCGAGGGAGGGGGCGGCCCCGGGGGAGACCGCGAGGGAGGCGTGGCCCCGGGAACGCGCAGGCGGCAGGCGTACTGAGAGGCACGTGTGGGACCTGTTCCAGAATCCCTCCCTCTCACACTGGGACCACACACCTGCCTGCAGAATCAGGTTGGAGCAAGGTGTGGGGACAGAGATCACAAGTGGGCAGGCACCCAGAAACCCCGGCCTAGGGAGAATAGCCTGCAGACGTTGTTTGGGAAGACCCAGCAGCCTGGTCAAATGCTGCTCTGTGCCTGGCCGTGCCAGTCCCCCATGCCCTGTCCCTGCCCAGGACCGCCACAGGGCCCTGAGCCACACCCTCTGCATCTTGGGCTTCTCCCCACCTTGGCTCCGTGCTGTTGATAAGCTCTGACACCTGCTGCAAATAATCCATCCCATACACCACCACGGGCTCAGTGTCACTCAGCTCCAGCGGCGACAGCAAGAAAGACAGAAACTCCAGCCAGTCCATGGAGGGCGCCAGGACCTAGGAACAAAACAAAGTCTCAAGCCTCCCAGCCTTCATCCCAGCTTCCAGCAGCCCCTCCCCCACTGGCATGCTGTAGCCTGGGAGCCCTTCGCATTGCCATGGCAACAGCTACCGGCTGCTCGGTAACCCCTTCCGGCCATAAACCATTTTCTAGGCCTGAGCACCCCTCAATCTGGGAGCCCAACCACTTTCTACCGGTACGCAGGTGGAAAACCACGTGTGTATGATATTCAGATGGGGCACAGATACTCAGATATTTCCATACCCCAAAACCCAAAAAGAAACAAACCCGTTGCCGTGGAGTTAATTCCGACTCACAGCGACCCTTTAAGAGAACTGCTCCATAGGGTTTCCAAGGAGCAGCTGGTGGATTCGAACTGCCGACCTTTTGGTTAGCATCTTGAGCTCTTAACCACTGTGCCACAAAGGCTCCGTTTTCTTAACAATTGATAGAATACCAGGCCCATGAGGCCCCAGGGTACCTGTGTACAGGACCCCTCCCCCAGCATCCCCCTCCCAACTTCTCCCTAATCAAACAACTAAAGGGTTGATGCCTGGCATGGTAAGGACTTCCTAGGAGCCTGCTGCAGTGTCTATTCTGATTGTTCTGTGGGCATCTTTACAAGCTGTTACAGATTTGTTAACATCACCCTTCCACGCATCCCCAGGCAACAGGAAAGGGATCAAAGGGTGGCCCAGTGACAGGTGGCCTGCAATGATAGCAACAGTGCAGGAGGGAGGCTCGGAAAAGCGAGGAAAGGAGGAAAGGATTGGCCGCCTCCGGGAGATGCAGGAAGGGAAGTGGGACAGTCTGTGCCAGGGGCTGGCCTCTCCCCACTCTCTCCAGTCCCCTGCCTGCCCCACCTGCAGCTCGGCGATGCTCATTTTGTGATAGATCTTCTCCTCGTCGCGCCGCTGGTCCTGGGGCACGGTGATGTTGGCCAGTTGTATCTCCAGCTCCAGCACCTGCTGCATCTGCTCCCGTGTGGAAGCTGGCTGTCCACCCAGCAGCACCCCCAGCTCCTCCATGTAGTCCAGGTAGGCGGTGAGCACCTGCCAAGGCCCAGAGGACCAAGTTCCACCGGAAGCTGGGAGGCCAGTTCTGGCCACTACCTCTGCCCGCCATCCTTACTGCTAACCCTCCTCTTACAGGCTCTCCCGGACCACCCTGTACCATTTGTCCCAGTGCTTTCTACCATCTGCTATTATCTTGTTTATTTGTGCATTTGTTTATCATCTGTTTCCCCAAGCAGAAGGTAAGTTCCTGAAGAGCAGGGACCATGCCTGGCGTCTTCACCACTGTATCCCTAGGGCGTAGAGCAAACAGTGCCTAGCATAGAATTAAAAAACAAAAAGCAGATGACCAGGCATTTCTTCTGAGGTGCCTTTCAGTTAGTAGTCGAGTACCTAACCGTTTACACCACCCGTGGGCTCCTAGTACAGAACAGGTGCTCAGCAAATATCTGTCCAGCAGAAGGACCTGCTTCCCACACTCGGCCTCTCATTTCCTAAAGCCCATCTGGTTTTCCCAGGTCCTCAGCGACCACACGCCTTCGTTTAGCAGCCGAGTGGCCCTCAAGGGGAGTTTGGTCCACAGTAGCTTCAGCTCCCTCTCACCTCCCGTCTGTCCAGGCCTCAAACATGCTACCTTGTCCACTGGTCCCCAAGGGGGACAAAAGCACAGAGAAGAAATATTTAGTGGCCACTATGTACCCATGTACACATGGAGCCCTGGTGGTGCAGTGGTTAAGAGCGCAGGCTGCTAACCAAAAGGTCGGTGGCTCAAATCCATCAGCTGCTCCTTGGAAACACTATGGGGCAGTTCTGCTCTGTCCTGTAGAGTCGCTATGAGTTGGAATCGACTCAGTGACACACGACAACAGCGACAATGTGTATACATGTGTCAGGCTCTCTGCTAGGGCTTTCCCTGTCATTGTGCTGTTTCCCTACTCACAGCACCTCCATACAGTGGGTATCATCAGCCCCATTTTACATATGAGGAAGCAAGCTTGGGAAGGTGACATGACTTGACCCATCTCAAAACTAGCAGATGGCAGAGTCAGACAGTGACATCAGGGCCACTGTCCTAGCACGACCTGGGCCCAGTACAAACTCAGGCTGCTTTATCCCGGCTGGCGACTGAGCTCCGCAAGGGCAGGGCTGGGTCGGCTTTGTTTGCCACTGCAGTGTCAGGCACATAGTAGATGCTCAGGAAATATCTGTTGAATGGAGGGATGAACGCCTGCAAACAGACCCTCAGCACCGACTCCCTGGGGTCTTCCTCCCAGGGACCAGTGCGCACCCTCCCCCCGCTGCCCACCCTGAGCTCCCCTGCCGTCTCCTCTTCCCACGCACTGAGGAGTTTAGCTTCCTTAAAGTCCATTCCCTGGACTCCAATACGTCCGCCTTCCCACCTCACCTCTTCCTGGCTGCTGGCCTGCCAATCCCAGTCATCACAGCTCCTGAGGGGCGGGAGGTTAGCTCAGCGCACCCAACCCACCCAGCTCCCCTTAGCCCTCTCTCCCTTCCTTCTTACCTTCAGCTTAAGACTTACTTTGGAGACTTTCCTGAACCCTGCTGTTAGGCTTGAACTGTGTCCCACAAAAATACGCACTGTAAATCCTAACCCCTATATAGGGTCCCTATGAGCCAGCAGGAAACCCTGGTGACGTACTGGTTAAATGCTACAGCTGCTAACCAAAAGGTCAGCAGTTCAAATCCACCAGCCGCTCCTTGGGTGCCTTATGGAGCAGTTCTATTCTGTCCTACAGGGTTGCTATGAGTCGGAATTGACTTGACAGCAATGGGTTTGTGTTTGGTTTATGAGTCGGCAATGGGTTTTATACCTGTGCTTATAATCTCATTTGGGAATGGGTTTTCTTTGTTAGGTTAAGAGACCGTATCACTGTGGGGTGTGTTTAAAGCCAATTACCTCTGAGATATAAAAAAGGCAGATTAGGCCTAGAGAAGGAAGCAGAGATGGAGGAAGAGAGATGCCAAGCCACATGAAGAGCACCGAGGAACCAAGCAAAAGCACTTTCCCGCAGAGCCGACAGAGAGAAAGCCTTCCCCCAGAGCCAGAGCCCTGAATTCGGACTTCTGGGCTCCTAAACTGTGAGACAATGAATTTGTTTGTTAAAGCCACCCACTTGTGATATTTCTGTTATAGCAGCACTAGATAGCTAAGACACCTGTGTTGCTCCTAAATTTTTACTCTACCTTTACATTTGATGGAAGAAGAAGTGACCCTACACGTCCCTTCCTTACCATGTGCTCCTTAACCTTCTGCACGGCAGCTTCCCCATCCCAGGAGGACCACCTGCCCAGGCAACCAGCACCACACCCACAGCCAAACGGAGGCTCTCTCCTCGGCCTCTCTCAAGTGCTGAACTCCACGGTTCCCTCCTGCCATCTCAAAATTCTCTCCTTCCCTCACGCCAGTGATGCAATTCTTTTTAAAACCACAAACCTGTTCACATCACTCTCCCACTTTTGAGTTTTCCCTTCACTTCTTTTGGGATAAATCCCAGATCCTAAACATGACCCACAATGCCCTGCAGAGTCTGAGTCCCACCCTCCCTTCCTTCTCTGGTCAGTCACTCCTTCCTACAGCAGACCCTTAGCAGAAGCTGTTCCCTTTGCCTAGCACCATCTCCCTTTGCTGCAGCCTGCCCTTGTCCTGGGACTGCGTCCTAGCCTGTGTCTGTTACACCCACTCTCAGAAGTCCATCCATCTCCTGGGTAACAGTCGCAACAGCTGTACACACTGGATAGTTATTTCATGTCTTCTCCCCAGTTAGAGATCAGTGACAATGTCTTGTCCGTCACTGTGCCTAGAGGAGGGTCTGGGCAAGTATTGCTAAGTAAACGTTTGTGAATGAATCAAAGAAGAACAGACGCCTCTGCTGGTTGTCCTACACCATAGCAGTCTCCTTCAATGGCTTTCTTCCTCCCACTACCCTTAAAATATCAGAATCCAGACTTTCTGGAGCCATCGAGGCTGGATGAACCCCCAAATTATTGCCCGGAAATAATATTTAAACCGTAAACCAAAAATATCCCCTGAAGTCTTCTTTAAACCAAACAACAGTTTAGCTTAATTAGTAAAGAACGTCTACCTTGAGCATTGTGCTCTTTTAAAGAACTATCTCTACGGGATCAAACTGACAACAGCAACTGGAAAGATTAGCTGGGAAGTTTAGGGGACAATGAGTTTATGTTAATGGGGCAGGAACAATTTGGAAAAGGAGGGTGAGATGGTTGCACAACTCGAAGAATGTAATCAACATCACTCAATTGTGCATGTCAAAATTACTGAATTGGTTATGTTTTGCTCGGAGCCCTGGTGGCACAGTGGTTAAGCGTCGGGCTGCTAACCAACAGGTCGGCAGTTCAAATCCACCAGCTGCTCCTTGGAAACCCCATGGGGCAGTTCTACGCTGTCCTACAGGGTCGCTGTGAGTTGGAATCGACTGGATGGCAGCGGCGGGTAAAGTTCTGCTGCATATATTTCCAACAATGATAAAAATAAATTATTCTTTAAAAATGCAAGGATCTCCCTCTTTCTTTTCTCTATTCTTCCCCCATGCTGTCACCTCTCTTAAGCCTTTGTCTAGGTTTCTAAGGAGATGCCTCTTAAGTCCCCGGCTCCCTCCAGGCTCGTCCTCGTCCAGAACTCCATGCCATTTTCACGGCTGTCTGCTGACCTCTCCATGTAGATAGCACCCAGGTCCCTCAAACTCGAGCGTCTAAAACGAGAGGCCCCCCTCCTTGCGTGGCTGCCACATGCTGGAGTGCTAGCTTGCACCCCTGCCAAACACCAAGTGAGGTAGATGCTATGATCCCCGTTCTTCAGGTGAGGAAACAGCCTCAGAGAGGTTAATCAAACTGTAGCAAGCAGCAGAGCTGGGACTGAAATCCAGGTCTGACTCCAAAGTCTGCCCTTCTCCTGTGCCACTGCATTGCCTTCTCCTTCCCAACATGCCCTCAAGCTAGGTCTTCCCACAGACACCCTGAGGAAACCTCCATGCCACCATCCCTCAGGCTGACAGCCTCAGCCACCTTTGCCTCCTCCCTCCCTCTCCTCCTCTAGTCTAACATCCAGCAACCAACGACTCAGGACTCTGCCAGGGCTATGTCTTTTGCATCCTCCTCTTCCTCACACCCCCTCTGCCTCCTGCCCCATTTGGGACCTTAGGATCCAGAGCCTGGAGTACTACAGAGACTCATAACTCATCGCCAGACTCCGTCTCTTGCATTTACCCTCACCCACCCCCCCAGCCCAACTGTCTTCCCAGAGCCCTGCTCCCTGGGTCTCTCTTTCCCAGCTCTGGAGCGTGTGATGCCTCCCTGGGTTCTGCAGAACTAATTCGTTAGTGTGGCATTCCAGGTCCCCTCCATAAGCAGGCCCTACCTGCCTTTCCAGCTTCCTGCCTACTTTGAGCTCTCTGTTTTCGCCAGCTGGACCCCTTGCCATGGCCCAACCACATCTTAGCTCTTCCCTCCTCTATGCGCTTGTTCAAACCCTTCTCTCTGCACAGCATGCCGTCACCTGCTCCCACACACTCTACCAGGACCCAGCTCAAATGTAGTTCTCCGAAAACCTTCGCTGAGTCTCTTCTCTTCTGAGTTCTAGAGACCCTCCTTTGAGTCATGTCCTGTGCTGTCTGACTCCATACACCCGCCTACACTGAAATCTTCCTCTGGCAAAGGCTCTCAAACTTACATCTCAGGATTCCCCTGCTACACCTGGCACACGGTAATCAGTAATCAACTGCCGTCGAGTCAACCTGACTCATGGCGACCCCATGTGTGTCAGAGCAGAACTGTGCTCCACAGGGTTTTCAATGGCTGTGATCTTTTGGGAGTAGATCACCAGGCCTTTCTTCCAAGGCACCTGTGGCTGAGTTTGAACTGCCAATCTTTCGGTTAGTAGTTGGGCACTTAACCAGTTGTGCCAACCAGGCACATGGTAGGTGCCCATAAAATGCCTTCTGGATGAATAAAAGGAAGGGAGGGAGGGAGGGAGGGAGGGAAGGAGGAGGGAAGGACAGTCAGCTCACAAGGCGGCAGGACAGGCTCACCTTCCCTGCTCTGACCCTGGGTGAAGGGAAAACTAAGCAGGGGGAAAGGGGTGGGCCCGAGGGCGTTCCTTACTTTCTCATTGGCAGTCTTGTTCAGGTAGTAATCTCGAGAGGGCAGAAAGAGCCCAGACTGGTCCACCTGCAATAGGCATAAAAGAGCATGAAGCTCCCTGTAAACCTGACTCCCGCAGGGAGACCCAGCCCAGCCCACTGTCCCAGGGGAGGGGCGTGTGGCCTCACCCCTCCCCAGCCCGGCACCTGGATGACATTGCTGTTGGAGCTCTTGGAGTCGGCACTGACGTAGACAGTAAAGAAGGGGGTGGCCCTATAGGTCCCGGCCACTGCCTTCAGCACTTCCATGAAGTTGTCCTGGTCCCAGGGCCCCGTGATATTCCAACCACCGATCTGAGGACACACCATTAAGTGGAAGCTATGGCACAGGGGCCCCCAAAGCTTCCTTGGGCTGCGTCCTCTCCTGAGGCTCCCCTGCCCGCAGCCCACCCAGCGGCCCTGCCTTGTCGATGAGGTCTCGCAGCGGCTGGGCTCCCAGCTCCTCAATGCGCTCCACCCGCAGGCAAGACAAGTAGAAACGCTGCGTCTTCCGTTCAGCTTCACTGCTGGAGTTGAAGGTGGCGTTTTCTATGGAGTAGAACACAGGGTCCAGGTGGTAATTAGGTTAACTGCTGACGGGGCATCCCTGGCCCACAGTCCCTCTCCTTGCTTTCTCGGTGAGTAGTCCCCCTGATGTAGAGCCAGGAAGACTGTCTGAAAGAGCAATCGTGGCTTCTTCTGTCCATGGAGACTCTCCCTAGAGCTATCAAAACATTCCAGACGCCCCCGCACCTGCCACACGTGGACAGTGCTTCCAACGAGTGCAAACAGCAACCCCTCATTATACCCAGAGGTCCTAGCCCTCCCCCCAAAACTCCTCTCTGCTTTTCAGCTCCTGCTCTCTGCACCCCACCTCAGGAATGTTAGTCATCCACCTTCCCCTTCATCTATGGAAAGTCACTACTGAGCACCCCTAAGTGCCAGGCCCTGTGGTGTGTACTTGGCACAACACCCCACGACGGGCCCACTCACCCAGTAGGTGCTTCAGTATGGCCTGGTTCTGGTCCCAGAGGCTGTTGAAGGTGTTCCAGCGAGAACGCCCGTCGGGCAGGGGGTTCCTCCGAATCCATTCTCCACAGGAGAACTGGTAAAAGTCTTCACAGGGCCTTACTCCACGGTCCAGGGAGTCCAGGATTTTTCCAGCCACTCGAATGCAGGCCTCTGTGAGGCAGGTGCTGTGGGATGGGTCTGTGGCAGGGGACACGGCTGAGGGTAGGGGACTGTCAGTCAGTCTAGGAGAGGCAAACGCTTTGGGAGGGGCCGTGACAACAGAAAGGTCATGAGGACACAGAAAAGCCACAGGCAGGAGTCTGGGGAACCCCGGCTCCAACCTGAGGCAATCTTAGAGACCCTTCAGCCTTCAGAGCCCTCAGGTTGGGGGGCTGGTGACAAGTGTGGGCCCACCTACCTCTGTGGTACTGGACCCCCAAGGCCACAAGGCAGCCCAGAAGCAATGCAGCCAGCAACAGAGAGACACCTGTCAAGACCAGCTCCAGCCGTGTGTGTGAGCCTAGGAGGTGTCTTGTCCCCTTCCGGAAGCCCACCTGGAGAGAAGAGGGTGACAGAGAGAGAAAGAGAGCTGCAGGGCAGGGAATTCAAGACCACAGAAGACCTCCGACAGGGTAGAAAGCACCTGCAGTTTCCAGAGCCTGGGAGAAAAGACGCTAATGGGGTTAACTTCGGGCTCAGGGGTGATGAGGCAGGCCTGGCTGAGCCCTGAGCCTGTTTGTGCAACGTCATGGCTTAGAATGGCCTCACCACAGTCCTAGCGCAGAGGCCAGAGAAGGAGCGGGGACGGGGCAGGTGACCCTCAGGGCAGCCCAGACCTCCTGGGTGTGCCAGGCCTCATGCCGGGGCTGGGGCCTGATGAGAAAGGGGAACCCGGTGCCCACCTCCAAGGCGTCCGGGGAGGCCCCGCCCTCTATGGGGGTCTCGGGTGCATCTTCATCCCGAAGCGTGGCCCGTTTGTACTCCACCATCTGCCAGAGAGTTCGGGGCGCCAGGTGGAGAGAGGGCTCTTTGCCCACCGCCCTGCACCAGTGCCCCTCGCCCGCTGGCATCCCCGCTGCAGTCACAGCTCCTATATCCCACCTGCCGGGCACTTGGGGGGCCCTCCGACAACCCCCCCAAAATACGCAGCTCCATCTCTGCGAGCCGGAGCCCCCGCCCGCCTGGCGCCGCCTGTCCCCCCGCCGCGGCCCCTCTGTGCCTCGCCCCCGGGACCCGGGGCCCCCACTCACGTCGCCGCCGCCCAGCTCCTGCAGCGCGACGTTCATGGTGGACTCG